TAATTAAGTGTAGGGTGGACCTCGCCTGGTGACTTTCCCGCGCCCTAGCATATCACTGGCCGTGCGGTATGGATCCCTTGACCTTTCCTCCCTAGAGATAACCTCTGGGTCTCAGTTGTATTTCAGCTCTAGGTCCAGATAAGCCAGCGGTTCTCAACCTGTGGGTTGCGACCGCGGTCTCAACCTGTGGGTTGCGACCCCTTTGGCGGTTGAACGACCCTTTCACGGGGGTCGCCTAAGACCATCCTGCATATCAGATGTTTACATTACGATTCATAACAGTAGCAACATTACAGTTATGAAGTAGCAACGAAAATAATTTTATGGTTGGGTCACAACATGAGGAACTGTATTTAAAGGGCCAGAAGGTTGAGAACCACTGAATAAGCAACAAAACTAGCCACAGGGGACATCAGGCCCAGCTACATTGAATAATCACACACACACACCACACCCGTGTTGGCCAATCAATCAGTGGAGACCACAACCCTGAAAGGACACACCTGGAAAACTACTGAATATTTTATTAAGATCTTTCCCTGGGACCACCCCTAAAATCTCCTTCCTTAAGAACCGCAGGATGGAGGACTGTGCACTCTCCCTCCCTAAACATGCCCATGACTTTCCCTTTCCAGCCCCTTCTTCATTCCCCAAGCTTCCTCACTCCCAAGCTCCAAGGGCCCTAACTTTACCTCTAGAACTTGTTTGCTAAATCCATTTCTTCTAGGAATTACTTTTTCTACCTCTGTAATTTACCCGAATGTTCCCTTGCAGTTTGGGTCTTGCTATATCCTCTCGGCCCACATCCTTGTGCTATCAGAATCCTCTTCTAGCCTCATGAGAGAGTAGGGGACAAAGCAAAATAAAGAAGGGGGCTCAGCCTATTCTTCTTTGCAAAGGTGAAAAGGCCTCATTGTGTTAGGACTATAGGACAATATAACGGCCATTTGTAAACTTCCCGCCACAGGAGACAAAGGCCAGGAAAAGCTTTCTGGACACCAGGAATCAGACCATATAAGGAACTGAAACTGTCCTAAAAACAGCTGAGCACACACCTGCATTCCATCTCCTTCCAAGCCACCGACTCAGCCCCCAAGTCCACTGACGACAAAAGTTTCCTGCCAGCGACTACATATAAGGATGAAACTCCAGCTCCTGGGTGCTGCCATCATCGACCCAATGTCCCCTTGGCTCAGTGCTGTGCAGCCCTTCCCTTTGGGTATCCCATCCCTCATCCCCTTTTCCTAAATAAAATCATTTTTTCTTTATCCACCGTCTGAGATGGTTATTTAGCCTGCCTGTGCACACCGTCATGTTCACCTTTCAATGACCAACAGAAGGGACCAAGTGATGCCTTTGGAAATGAAAGCCAGCAACTTCCTTAAAAAAAGGGGGTAATGTGCAGACTTCTTTATTATTCAATGCGGCTGGGCCTGATGTCCCCTGTGGCTAGTTTTGTTGCTTATCTGGACCTGGAGCTGAAATACAACTGAGGTCCAGATGTTATCTCTCCAAACCGCCATATAATATATATTCTTGGACACCAGGAATCAGACCATATAAGGAACTGAAACTGTCCTAAAAACACCTGAGCACACACCTGCATTCCATCTGCCTTCCAAGCCACCGACTCAGCCCCCAAGTCCACAGACGACAAAACTTTCCTGCCAGCGACTACATATAAGGATGAAACTCCAGGTACATATATATTGATTTCAGAGAGGAAGGAAGAGGGAAAGAGAGATAGAAACATGAATGATGAAAAAGTCATTGATCATCAGGGAAAAAGGAGACATATGTAAAACTTTAGACAATAAATAAATAAATAAATAAAATCATTGATCAGCTGCCTCCTGCATGCCCCCTACTGGGGATCGAGCCTGCAACCTGGGCATGTGCCCTTGACTGGAATTGAATCAGGGACCCTTCAGCCCACAGGCCCACGCTCTATCCACTGAGCCAAACCAGATAGGACTGTGAGGACTTCTTGAGGGATGTAGTCTAGGAGGAAGGAATCATATAGACTCTATATGAAATGGGGTACCAGTGTCTCATCATTTATAATAATTATCATTACTCTTCCAAGCTCTTAATTAAAATGACTATTAGAAGCTACTCCAAATTGTTTAAGGAAATATTATGCACACTATGGTTTGTCTATGGCAAATTATGCTTTTAAGGTTATTGATAATTAGTAATATTGAGAAAGAATCATGGACTGGGAGTTAGGACACCTAGGTACTAGTTCCAGCTCCACCTTAATTTGGTGTGTGATTTTAGGCAAGTAATTTCCCTCTTGGGAGCTTGATAAATCTGGTGGAAGAGAGAAGGTAGACTAGCAGATGATGCCAGAGGTTCCTTTCAGTTCTAACATTAGTGGAAGCTGACTATATTTTCCACTTAATCATCTCTGCGCATGCAGGGGGAGGAAACCCTTTGAAAGCTTTCTTGCTCTGGGAAAAATCTAAGCAGGGACATTTCTGTTTTCCTTGGAGCTCTGCATCAACCTAGGAACCTGCTTTGTCTTTTCACTACTTGAGCAAGATGCAGGATGAGCAGGCAAAGACAGGGGGGAAATTTGAGAAAGTTCCAGCAAGGTAGTTTAGTATAGTGCAAGGAATATGGGCTCAGGCACCTAAAATTTGGTTAAGCTACTTACAGAGTAATCTTGAGAAAGTTCCTGAGTTACCCAGTAAATATTAGGTCCTGTTCCTGTCTTTACCTTCAGCCACTCAAATGTTCACGATAATACCAGTTTGAATTCCAGATCCACACCCCAAACTTTCCTGTTTTTATCCGGCGTATTATTAGGGAGGCAGGCAAATGAAAATACCTATATTACTATAGCCTCATTATTTTATTTAAAATGAATTCCTGCCCTGGCCGGGTAGCTCAATTAGAGCGTCATCCCCATATGCCAAAGTTGTGGGTTCAGTCCTCAGTCAGGGCACACACATAAGAATCAATCCATGAATGCATAAATAAATGGATCAACAAATTGCTGTTTCTCTCTCTCCCTCCGTTAGTCAACAGTCCCTGTGTGTGTATAACCGCTGTTCTTCATCAGTGGCAGAATGCGCTGATTACAGATTTTGACACCACGCGATTGCGAGACTTCCCGCCGGCTGAGTCAAAACTCTGTCACTCGGGCTAACGGGATATGTTCTCCCTGCCTGGATTATAACCTGGGTTTACGAGTCACGTGACAAGCCAACCCGAACCAAGCCGCTCCCCACATTCCCGCAACTTTTGCCCTTCCCTACGATTCATCTTCAGGCGTTCACCCGGACCTGCAGAACCCAGGCCCCACGGGACCAATAAATGCTCCGGCCTCATTGGCCTTATTTTCTCTTGGACAGACAACTCTGACCAGTTACGGCGGCGCCGGCGTCCAGACGGTAATCCCATTGGCTCAGTGCTCTGCCCATCAAAACGGCTACGTCTTCGGCTTCCAATCAGACTCAAGCGTGAATGAGCGCCACAGGGTGGAGGAGGGGAATCCCCCGTAAATCTTGGCAATCCAGTTGACTCTCCCGCCTTTGTTTTCAACCCTGCCTTGTTCTCCTTCTTATAAAAGTGATGGCCGGAGACCAAGCACTCAAACATCCTGTGCTGCAGTCACAGCCTTCTCTGTCCTGCCCTGAGGAGCCTCCTCAGGACGAGTTGCTATTGCTAGGAGACACTGAGGCAGAAAGGGAGAGCCTGACTATGTTTGTCTCAGGTCACGTTTGTGGACGCTCAGCCTCTGAACCCTCTGCTCCCAGATTCAGCGCCTCTACCGTGGCTCCCGACTAGGTGCAACCCACTTTCCTAGTGTAAAGCTGGGGGCGGGGTTTGGCTGGGCCGGTCCAGGATGCAAGATCCTGGAGGGAAGAAAAGGTGTACTGTTTGGGGTGCTCAGCGGGCTGGGCTGGCTTGGCAGGGCTGGGATCTTCAGAACAGGTAATAACCCGGAGGCCTGTTCGTCTGAACCATAGATAGAAGGACAAGGCGAGATCTCCGGGTAACAGGTGAGGGGGCTGCATAGGTGAGGAGGGGGAATAAATGGAAGAGCAAGAGGAACCAGAAGCTTTGTGTGTGTGTGTGTGTGTGTGTGTGTGTGTTGTGGGGGGGCGGGAATGGGGGGAGCAGCCATCATCGTCCTGCAACACGCCTCCCTGCAGGATGGATTTCGGAACCCCTGACCTGCTGGATGTGTGGCTGGAGCCCCCAGATGATGTCTTAACAGGACCCTTCCTGGAGCTGGGACTCCACTGTCCACCTCCCGAAGTCCCAGTGACTATGCTACAAGAACAGGGGCTGCAAGGCTGGGAGTCCAGTGGGGCCCCTGCCTGTGTGAGTATGATGAATGGAAGCCGGGTGGTTTGAAACACAACTCTGATAAGAAGCCCAAGAGACTTCAGCCTACACTTGGAAAGTGGTCTGAGACAGTACCCCTAGAGTAGACATAAACTGTAATTATCCCCATGTCCAAGGACAGAAAGGACTGAAACTGAAGCACGAAGGATCTAGGTTTGATGTCAGGAAGGACTAACAGAATTCTTCCCTGTATACATACATGCCCTCTTCTGATGTAGGGCCTTCAAGAGAGTGAGCCGGAAGATTTCCCGAAGCTTTTCATTGATCCCAATGAAGTGTACTGCTCAGAAGCATCTCCTGGCAGTGACAGTGGAATCTCTGAGCACCCTGGTCGTCGAGACAGTCCCCCTGTCCCCCAGGCACCCAGCTCTCCTGCCCTCTATGAAGTTGTTTATGAGACAGAGGCCCTGGAGAAGATGCAGGAGGAAGCTGGGCCAGCGGTGGGCTTCATCTCCATTCAGCTAGGTCAGTGGTGTTATGTGGGAAGGGGACAGTGGCCCTTGAGATCCAGTCCTGGCGCTGGAGTTAAGGGCGTTTCCCCGATCTGTGCCACTACCCAGCCCTCCTGCCAGCAGGGTGTACCTTCCATCTTGTTTCTCCCAGCCACCTGTATTTCCCTTAGATCAGTGGAGCCCACCTTTTATGATGCCTGATGCCTGCATGGTCAGCAACGTGCCCCTTGATGCTCATGCCCACATCCTGCCCAGAGCAGGCACTGTAAACCCAGTGCTTCCTGCCACCCTGGTGAGTCTTGGGGTTGGCCTAATCCATCCCCCCTGATACACACACATATACCCACACAGATTGGGATAAGGGAGGGGGAAACTGATGCTGAACTCTGTTTTTGGCATCAGGCCAAAGGACAGAAAGGAGACATGGGCAATTAATTTTTATTGATTTGAGAGAGAGAAACATCGATTTGTTGTTCCACTTATTTATACTTTCATGGCTGGTTTTTGTATGTATGTGCCCTGACTAGAGATTGAACCTGCAACCTTGGCATATAGGGACAAAGCTCGAACCAACTGAGCTATAGGGCAGACTTGGGCAATTTAAAAGCAGGAAAGGATAAGTGAGACAGAAACACTTGGGAGTAAGGTGATGATGACTCAGTTAGGAAAAGGTGGGGTGAGAGAATCCAGGGATAGGGCTCAAGAGACAAGGCCAAACCTTGTGTTCATTGTTTGCTTAGCTATTGTCTCAAGTCTTGGGTCAGGACGCAGAAATGGGACAGGCCACCTGGGAAAATTGAACTGGTTACTGGGCACAGGGTGTAAGAGAAACAATTGCATTTATGTTTCCACTGGAACAATTGTCTAGCAGGCACCCACTGCATGGGGTGGCAGGGGGAGTAACACATGAGATAACTTCCCAAGGCTACCTGGTCTGCTTCCTCCAGGGGGTGAGGATCGGACCTGCCTTTATCCCGGAAAGAACTTGTTGCATGCAAAAGGCAGGGAACAGGTTCTAGACTCCCTGCAAATCTGTGGTTGAAGCTGGACCAGCAGCCAAGCCAAGCATCTTAAAATCTTGGGTTGAGGGACCTTAAAAAGTTTGATACGTCTAAATGTGACTGTGCATCAAAACAGTGGGGAATTTGTGGGTTTGTTTTTTAATATTTTTAAAATATTTTTATTGATTTGAGAGAGGAAGGGAGAGGGAGAGAGAAATAGAAACATCAATGATGAGAATCATTGATTGGTTGCCTCCGGCACATCCTCTACTGGGAATCAAGCCTGCAACCTGGGCATGTGCCCTTGACTGGAATCAAACTGAGGCTGATGCTCTATCCACTGAGTCAAACCAGTTAGGGCGGTTGTTTTTTAAATAAAACTTTCTAGGCCTCATTCTCACAGATTTTGATTAGGGAGATTGGGAGGGACACCTTTCTAATATAGTTCCACCAAATAGTCACAGGCACAAGAAGGGAGCATCAGAAAAAGGCAGAGACAGAAGGAATGGTTCAGTTAAAAGCCAAAGGCTATCAGGGCAAAAGCAACACAAATTCCTAAGACACAAAGTAAAGCATAAATTTTTCAAAAGGTAATTGGAAAGGCAAGTCATTCAGTTGATAGACTCACGTTAACCAGACACTACCCTCCCCACATAACTTTTTTCTTTAGTTCTTTGTCTGACAGGGGACAGAGCTTTAGTCTGAAAAGAGGGGATCAGACCCTAGGGGAGAATGAGCCACTGCCCCAGGGAGCTCACTGTGATTGACAGGTGACTGGATAACACACTCTGCCAAACAGGAATAGCTAAAAGTGAATCATTTGCCTGCTGGAAGATTGGGCAAACCCGACCTTAGTCAGCTACTCCACTCTCTTCAAATACTCCTGTTTGGGGAGATGTGGATCAGAGACTGCGGTCAAAGGATATGACAAAACCACCTCTTCTCTCCCATCTTAGCCTCAGGAGGTCCCTTGAATTACAGTCCCTGCCCTCACTTCATTTCATGGTTAGCTATTCCTCAGTGCAAATGGGAAACACTATAGAAGGCATGCAGGGGGAGCAGCCTGGGTGCTAAAAATGGGATGACCCTCTCCCCACTCTCATCTTCTGTGCCCCACCAGCTACCCTGTCAAGCCTTGTTCCTGACAGATGAGGAGAAGCATCTGCTGGGGCAGGAAGGGATTTCCCTGCCCTCTCACCTGCCCCTCACCAAGGTAACATGCTTCCCAAAAGGGTATCCCAATCCAGTGGCCCACCATGGCTCTGAACAGCCAGGATCACGGGGGAGAGTTGGGGCATTGGGGTAAGTTAAGGGCCCAGGACTGATACACCTTGGGGCCCCAGACAGAGGAGAGGGTCCTCAAGAAGGTCAGGAGGAAAATCCGTAACAAGCAGTCAGCTCAGGACAGTCGGCGGAGGAAGAAAGAATACATCGAGGGACTGGAGAGCAAGTATGTTTGAACTCACATTTCTGGCTTCTGGTGGGCCAGGCCCGACTCCTCTTCCTGACCAAGGGAGGTAAGGCCAGGGACGCACATAATGGAAGAACCCTGTCCTACCTTTCCACACTCCTTAGGGTGGCTGCCTGTTCTGCACAGAACCAGCAACTACAGAAAAAAATCCAGGAGCTGGAGAGGCACAACGTGTGAGTGAAAGCATAGTGTGCACGTTGGGGGAGGTATGCAACACACAGGGGCACCATTCTTGGACCCTAGTTCCCAGATCTAACTCCTCCTTCCTCCTTTCCCAGGTCCCTGGTGACTCAACTCCGCCAGCTGCAGATGCTCATTACTCAGACTTCCAACAAAGCTGCCCAGACCAGCACTTGTGTTCTGGTACCATTAGTCTACCTCCCATCCCCCCCACTTCCACCACCTGACACACTTCCATCCCAATACCCCTACTCCCAAGCCATACGAATCTTCCCATCCCTGATGGCTCCAACTGCCCTCTATTCACTTACTTTACTGTCCCCACAGCCCAAGTGTCTTCTTGCTTCCTCCCAGATCCTTCTTTTTTCCCTGGCTCTCATCATCCTGCCCAGTTTCAGCCCCTTTCAAGGTCCACCAGAAGCTGGGTCTGAGGATTACCAGCCTCATGGAGGTGAGAGGCAAGGGCAGGGAATGACTTTTGACCCGGTGAGCAAGTGGGGTGTTCTCCAGGTAGTCAAGAGGTGGGAGGGAGGGCCCGTCCTGTCTAGGAATTCCCACCCAAGGGAGCACTCTACTACTGCCCTTTTTTCTTCACCCCACAGTGATTTCCAGAAATATCCTGATTCACAAGGACGTAACAAAAAATTGGGAGACCCCAGAGGTAGAGTCCAGATTGGGGGGGCCACCTGGGATCAAGAGTGCAAATGGCTCAACAACGACTCTGCTTGAGAAGACGGGAGGAAAGACAGGCCCCCGAGGGCTCCTCAGAACTGTGCTACATGCAGATGAGATGTGAGCTGGAGCACTTCCGAGCCCACCCCCAATCACATGAGGAACCCAGGGCTCTCCGCTCTGCTTTCCCCTGGGATTTCCACTCGGGGTTCTTTGGCCTCAGGATTACATCAGGATGCCCTAGATGCCTGTACCCTGAGGCCCAGTCTGTCTGTGTGAGGTGGCACCACAAATACTTTTATTATGTATCTGTGATTTTATTTCTTCTTTGGATGTAGGGTTGAGGGAAACAGACGTTTTTGCTAATGAAATAAACGTTTTTTTGCTGAAATTTTATTCCAGTTTTAAATAAGTAGAAGGGGGGAAGATAGGTACTTGATAAAGTGGGGCCTAAAGTTGCCACCCCGGTTCCCTCTCTGCCTTCATATCTTCCTGCCCCAAACCAAATCACAATAGAGAAGGAAACTATTTTACTCTTTTTATTCTGCTCATTGATGATCTAGACGAGGAAGATGGAAGGGGTTTTGTTTGTTTGTTCCTCCCACTCCCCAAAATACTAGGGGCACAAATAAGTCCATTCTATTTTCTCTGTCGGAGGCAGGGTCTTTAAGACCCATATACAAGGGTAGAAGGTAGCTATATGGATTCGATTTGCTTCCGGACCTTTTCCAGGGCCCTTCTGTCCAGTTGTCGCTGACGAATGATGACAAGGCAAGCGAAGACCAAGGCTACACCGATGACAGTCCCTTCAAATTTCCAGAATAAGTGTTGTTCCATCAGCGCCGAGCGACAGCTGAGGGTAGGAAGAAACAATTATTCCCAGGGAAGGCCAGACAGCCTCTCCCTCTAGCCTCCCTTCTACTTCAGCCTAACCAAGATACAACATCTGAGGGGAAAAGAGAAAACCAAAGTCAGTCTACTGTGCTCGCAGTGCATAAACCCCACTCAAATATATCATTCAACTCATTTTCTGGTGAGACAAGCAGAGCAGGTACTAAACAATTTTACTGATGAGAAGATATGGCCATGAATATAGCACTGAGAAGGAGAATTGGGACTTGAAGTAATTTGGTTCCAAATCCCTTCCTCTTTCCAATATGCCACACTACCTCCAGACCAAGAGGAAGAGGTGGGACTATCTACCTAAGGTCATAGGAGCAAAGGAGGTGATCTAGGAGGTTTCCAGAGGAGAAACAGCACTTGCCTTTTGAACCCATTCCTCTTAGATAAGCTGCATGTGATTTTCTCCACATACCCTGTGGAGCCACATTCAGGGGTGGTTTTCTGCCGGGAGAAAAGGACCAAAGCACACGTTAGGAAGGGGCCAGAGGAGAAGCAGGCCGGATGCTATTCAGAAGGGGCAGGGGCCCAAGCGCTATGGCTCAGAACTGGGAGGTAACTTGTGAAGAGTTCTAATGGGGATGGTGGAGGCGGTGGCTGCGCAATTAGGAATATGTGTTAGAAAGAATGTTTCAAAAGCGATCATCTAGGAGAGGCGTGGACAGGTCCCAGAGTCTATTGGATTCAAAATGAACAGGACACGGTTATTAACTGAAAGTTGCCATTAGCGTGGAAAGAAAAGGGCACATTTACAGGGGAAGACAAGTTCATATGTGGACATATACAAGGAAAAAGATAAAAGACAATGAAAGGCAAACTCAGGAAGACTTAGGGGCTGTGGCGGAAGCGTGAGAGAAGCCACAGTTTCATTTGCAAGTATCTCTGAGCTCGCTGAGTAGACACCATGAGCAAAGCTCACCCCCTGAGGTAAAAACATTTATGGAGCCCTAACTGGTTTGGCTCAGTGGATAGAGCGTCGGCCTGCAGACTGAAGAGTCCCAGGTTGGATTCCAGTCAAGGGCATGAACCTTGGTTGCGGGCACATCCCCAGTGGGGGGTGTGCAGGAGGCGGCTGATCAATGTTTCTCTCTCATCGATGTTTCTAACTCTCTTATCCCTCTCCCTTCCTCTCTGTAAAAAATCAATAAAATATATTAAAAAACAACAACAAACATTTATGGACAAGAAGTTATCGTTGAAACTAAATGGCGGCTGCCTGGCCGGTGTGGCTGGGTTGGAGCGTCATCCCATACACACTAAAGAGGCAGGTTCCATTCCGGGTGAGGGCACATACCCAGATTTCAGGTTCCACGTCACATCAAGGTTTCTCTCTCTCCCTCCCCTCCTCTCTAAAATCAATACCTTGGGTGAGTATTAAAAATAAAGAAAAAATAAATTAAATGGTAGCAGACATGTCCAAGGAATGTTGCCAGGATTTGATCCCTTTATAAATCTTGTGATAGACCAGCGGTTCTCAACCTTCCTAACGCCGAGACCCTTTAATACAGTTCCTCATATGTGGTGACCCCCAATTTCATTGTTACAAACTGAACATAATTAAAGCATAGTGATTAATCACAAAAACAATATGTAATTATATGTGTTTTCCAATGGTCTTAGGCGATCACTAAGGGTCGTTCGACCCCCTAAGGGGTCGCGACCACAGGTTGAGAACCGCTGTGATAGAGGAATGTGTGTCGATGGCAATAGTGGGCACCAGGACCCTATTGGGATGGTGGTCATACAGGAATCGGTGTCATGTTAGAAGCCTGGGCACGGACGTGAAGAACGGCTGTGTTCCTCAGAGAAATCAACTTGCTTGCACATGTTTTTCTAGATAGCACCTGTTTTTCTACAATATTAAAGCCAAGTCTTGGACATTTTCATATTGAACTTTTGTTAAGTGAACTTTCGCATTGGTCAAGATAAAAAAAGATGTAGGGACTGATCAGATGTGAGAAGCAGATACTCACAGCCTGGAAAGTAGAACACGGAGTACACTCTTCTGCCACCACGAACTCCTCCACCATCCAGCACGGCAAGCCCGAGGTGCTCACTAAAGGGGAGAAAGGCAGCCCCAAATCTCGCTCGGAAAACACTTCCCCCGAAGGTTCTGCCCAGCCCACTTCCCAGCACCCCGACGCCCTCGGTCCGCACGGGGCGCCCTGGGCCACCTGTGCTCTCGGTGCGCGGGAGGCAGTCAGGACAGAAACCCCGGGGGCGCCGGGCTCCGGACCATCACCCACCTGACAGCTTCTCCTCCCGCACCGGGGCCTCCGCTTGGCTGCGGGGGACAGGGGGGAAGGGGCAGACGTCAGAAGCCAGGAAACAGGGCACCCCCCACCGCGCGGTCGCGGGGCGCAGTCTCCCCCACCCCCAGGGCAGGGGCCAGCCCGTCCTCCGCCCCCGCCTCCCCCGGCGCCCAGCCTCCTCACCAGAGCTTTAAGGTGAACGCGCAGAGCAGCCAGTAGAGGCGGCGGCCCGGGGGGAGGCCACGCCTCCCCGCCCCCGCAGGCATGGAGCGCTCCGGGTCGCCGCCGGGACCGAGGAGGCTGCTTCCCTGGGCTCGCGCCGCCGTCAGAGCGCCGAGGCGCCGACCCTGCAGCGCTCCGGGAAGTTCCAGGTCAGAACTGCGAAATGCTGGGGCTGCCTCAGGTCAAAGGCTCTACTGGGCGGTGCCCATGGCCCGGACAAGAAGAGCCAGTACGTCCAATGCGCAGGGCGGTACGGCCCTAGCCGCCCCTCGCCTCGCCTTCGGCTCCCGGCGCGGCCATCTTGCCCTGCGAAGGCTCCTGGGCGCGGGCCAGACCACGGGCGGTCCGCTGGGCCCGGTTTCCCTGAGCGGGGCGGGGCATCGCAGGCGCAGGCGCGGGCGCGCGCGTTGCTTGCTGGGCCTTGTAGTCTCGCAGGGTTGGTGGCGCTGCGGGCAGCTCCCGGAATAGAATCTCACTGCGTTCGTGCTGCGCACCGTGGCATTCTGGTCCTGGTAGTCTTTGGTGGGAATGGAGGAAATGGCGGCGAGGCTGTATTCTCGGTTCCTGGCTCCCTGGCCTGTCTCTTGTTTACCCATCTGGGCTAGATGAGCAGCGAGACGTAAAAAAGAACCACACGTCGCACTCAGGACTTTGCACTTTCCTTAAAACCCTGGGAGTTACCATTAAAATTCAGCCTTTCTGACACTCTTACCTGTCTCATTGTTCCCGCCCAGTATGGTCAAAGGGAGAAGCTGGGTTGGCCTCTCCCTGCCACTGGGCCCCCACTCAGCTCTACTCAGATGTCACCTCCTCTCATGTTCAAAGATCCCCAGAACTGGCCCTTGAATAACCGCATCAAATGTTCTCAGCTCTCCCTTGCTCCTACATAATGCGCAATAAAAAAGAGCGTAAGATCTGAAGTTCCAGCAAGTGTTCAGTCTAGCTAGGTTGGGGTGCTTATTAGCTACATGACTTTAGCACTGTATCTGGCTCTCGGTGTTCTGTGTTAAAAGGAAATGCAAACGTGCGTTTTCTTTGTTTGTTTGTTTTTGAGATGCAAATAAAATGTGTAAATACTTATTCTCCTCTATGTTGCCTCACATTTCTGTCATATTTTTTAAAAGGTATGTTTTTATTGATTTCAGAGAGAGGAAAGGAGAGGGAGAGAAACATTGATGAGAAATGCTTCCTGCATGCCCCCTAAATGGGGATGTGCCCTGAAACCTGGGCATGTGCCCTGACGAAGAATAAAAAATTAAGATACTTAGGAATAAAGTAAACCAAGAAGGTAAAAGACTTGTACTCGGAAAATCACAGGATGTTGAAAAAAAGAGATAGAGGAAGATAGAAACAAGTGAAAGAATATACCATGTTCTTGGATTGATAGAATTAACATCATTAAAATGTCCATACTACCCAAAGCAATCTATAGATTCAATGCAATCCCTATTAAAATACCAATAGTATATTTCACAGATCAAGAACAAATACTAAAAAAATATATATGAAACCAAAAAAGACCCCAAATAAGCCACAGCAATCTTGAGAAAGAAAATTGGAGGGATCACCAATACCAGAAATCAAGTTATACTGCAAACCACTATAATCAAAACAGCATAATACTAGCACAAGAACAGGCATATACACCAATGGAACAGAACAGAGACCCCAGAAATCCACCTAAGCCATTACACTCAATTAATATTTGACAAAGGAGGTAAGAGCACACAGTTGAAATCAAGACAGTCTCTTCAATAAATGGTGTTGGGAAAATTGGACAGATACAAGCAAAAAACAAAAAAAGAAACGAGACCACTAACTTACACCATACACAAGAATAAACTCAAAATGGATAAAAGTCTTAAGCATGTCATGAAATGATAAAAATCCTAGAAGAAACCATAGGCAGCAAAATCTCAGACATCTCCGTAGCAATATGTTTGTGGATACATCTCCTAGGGCAAGGGAAAAAACTAAGGAGAAAATGAACAAATGCAATTACTTAAAAAGTTTCTGCACAGCAAAAGAAACCATCAACAAAATGAAAAGGGAGCCCACTGTATGGGAGAACATATTTGGCAATGATACATCTGATAAAGGGTATATCAAACATATAGACTCATACATTTACAAAAGAG